CTGAGCCCATGGGGCTAGAAGACTGACTGACACCCGTGAGATCAGGAAACAGGACCAGGCCCTGGGTTGTGATAACATGGAGTTTACACGTTCAATGGATGTTCTCTGGAGGGAGTAGACCAGAGCGGACGAGGCGGCAGTGGGTTCACCCCATTGCTGTTGAAGATTAAAACATTTAACGTTAATATCAGGCAGCAAAAACACATTGAACTGTGGGAAGGTAAACTGTAAGCAGGATATACCTGACCCATCGGTTAATCTGTTACAGGAGGTGAATAGGAAGTGCTGAAAACCGAGAAGGGCAGGTGTGGTGTCAAGAGTTGAGAAAGCAGCCACTACAAAAAAAAATACAAACGTCTATCAGTATCAAGAGAATTTCGCACAAGAAAGTAAATGAGATGAATAGGCCACAGATAGGTCATCGATGATCAAAAAGTGAACGTGGGGAGAGGTTTGGGGGGAAGTCCTCAAGGACGCCAGCCAGAGGGGATTGGGTTCACTTCGTAATCCCTCATCTATCAGGTGGGCCAAGAATAAGTGACAGAAAGATAAAATCTGTTTCATATAAAGCCCTTAACCCCATAAACTAAAGAACACTCTTGCTATAAAGTGCTTCATTCACTCAGATTCACTACATACGGATAACATAGAAACCCTTCCTAAGTTGAAATAGATATAATTAACACACTGGATCACAAGGTGAGAAGTTTGGAACTGTGAAATAAACAAAAAAAAAGGAAAAAAAAAAGAAAACCAGACCCAAAACCTTGGTCTTCAACAGTTCTTAGGTCGAAGTAGCAGTGGGATGCAGATGTACATGGAATCTAGAAAACATGTCTCTGGGCCCATGGGAAGCAGAGCAGAGTTCAGAAGAAAAATAGTGGATTAAATATTTATATTATTGAACGGGAAAGAATGAATATAGACAGATTAAAGATCCAGCTCAAGAACTCCAAAAAATAAAACAAAATAAACCCTACTAGAGCAAAAAGTAGGAATTTGTAAAGATCAAAGCAGAAGTTAATAAGAAAGTGAAAAATTATGGAAATAATAAATAAATCCAAATGTTCCTGCCTGGAAATAAAACCAGTAAAACGTATGAATTATTCACAGTCCCAGTAAAAAATTAATAGACATGTCACCACCCAAATGAGGACCAAGAATAATCGTGGAGTTTCCAGCAAGCAGGGGCCCCTTTCTGGTCTTGCCGGGGTGGCCAGAATCCCACAGGCATGCCTACATCATGGTCAAGGAGCTGGGCACGTGGGGCTCACGCACTTGACCTGTGTGCACTTCACCTCAGTGGTAAAGGAAATGCAAGAAAGCCAAAAACAAAATCTAAAAAGAAAAAATATGAGTTGAGTCATACCTCAATTTAAATAAACTGAGTGAAGTGTTTTCGAGGACAGTGTAACCTCTTAGGACTGACTCCAGAAGCCATCGACGTTAAAGAAACCATGTACAGGGTGGTCACAATATTAGCCGCTCCTGCCCTCCCCCAACAGAAAGAGACAGAAATTGTATCAGACTGAGGCAGGTGTGGGGGAATTTCTGCTCAGCCTTCAGAGCACGGACCCCGTGTGTGCCCCACGTGCCGACGCGGAGCGTGGACGGGGAAGCGCTTAGGAAGCCGTCAGTGACTGTGCTGCGTGGGCGTCACATGCGCTGGGGCTTGGGCTGCAGTGGCACCATGGGTGCTGGGGCACAGCCTTTGGTTTCCCCTCCCTGGACCGCAGGCTCGGTTGTAGGACACGTGCTCCATCATTGCTGAAAAGGCATTTGCCAGAAACCCGCATTCAGTCTTCATAAAATAGAACATATGGATGGCTTCTCAACATGATAAAGCGCATCTGTGTCAGCCAGAAATGGACATGCTATGAAGAGGACGATCCTGGCTTCAGTTCCAGCCAAGCCGCAGCCAGTCCAGGCTTCCCGATGTGGTGGTCATGCCGTCCGGCTGGGTTGGGGGGATGGTGCGGGGCTTGCTGACGGGAGCCAGAGACCGTAGTGAGGGTGGGGAGGTTAAATAGTTGCTAAGTCCTGCATTTGCAGTACAGGTCAGACGACACAAGAACACGCACCCACTTAGAATGGCAGTGGCGCGACGGTATACAGACTAAACAGCCAGCACGCCTGCCACAGGGAGCGTGCGAGGCTGATACCGCCCCCGTGAGCCAGACGAGTGGCCATGTCCTCAGATGCTCTCTCTCTGGTCTGTGCATTTAATATGGTCCCAGTGTTTCCCAAAAAGGTTTTGTTTCTTGTTTTGTTTTGATGGCTGAGGGGAGGTAGGGGGAGGGAGAGAGAAGACTCCCTGGAATTCTTGTGGCTGGAACGCTGGAAGGAGATCAGAAGCAGATGCGGAAGTGGGTGAGTGACAGCAGGGCTGTCATTGCCTCAGGGTTCGCTGGGAGGGCACATCTGGGCCCTCCTGGGGGCGGCTGGCCAACGGGATCCGCCTACACACAAGGAACCACCCAGAGCTGCCTTTGCATGGCATGGACAGCACACAGTTGGGCGGGAAGGGCTGAAGCCCGCGTCCCTGGGAGATGGGTTGGCAGGTGGGAAGTCCTCGTGGCAGAGCTTCGTGGAGCCAGACACGAACTGAGAGGCTCTCCTTGCACCGGTTTGGAAATGTCTCCAAAATACGCTAAGGGCGAAAACCAAAGTACAAATCAGCATGCGGACTGTCTTACTATTTCTGTAACAAGAAGTCAATAAAAAGGAAGAGGAAGAGCCTATTCCTACTTGCTGGTGGAGGTGCAAGACGTCTCTGGGGCCCAGCAGCCCAATGGCTCCCGCCAGCCGTGGGTAGCACCTGGGTGACCCGGTGCCTTGCGGAGGCCTCCGGGCCTCGGATCTGGAGGCTGCACGTGGTTCACAGGGGGGTGCAGCAGGCCTGGGGCAGGTCTGGGGCCGGGATGGTGACGTCTCTGGGGAGTGTCCTGTCTTGCAGCTCCGAAGCCCGGCTTCGGTGGCAGCTGTGGGTGTGCACACCTCCTCTGCCCAGGACACCAGCAACCCCCACACACAGAAAGAGACTGAGGGATCAGCCCAGACTGGATTCCGCCACTTCCGCGTCTTTCCAGGACAGTCCTCCTGGCCCGGCAAGGTCACTTTGCCCACTGGCCTGTTTGGCTATGGCCGTGAGGAGAACACAGGCACCTCCAGCTGCTGTATAAACATGCGGGTGCCATCGGATGGGGTGGCGAGCCTGGCCAGTTGGAGTATGTGCGCTCCTCGGGGAGGAGCGGGAGTGACCTTGGGATATGGTGGGCGCCACTTCTCTACGAGGGTGAGCAGTCCTTACTCCACGTTCTGGTGCCACTGAGTGGCCGCTTAGTGCCTGATCTGTGCAGGGAGACCCTCGGCTGGAGTGAAGCATCCCCATGTGTAGAGACCCTGACCCTATCCTTTCCTCTGGGGACTTCACTGAGGCCACCCCAGCTCATGCCTGCTCTAACCCGAGACCAGAAGGACTGGGTCACCATGGGTGCAGTGGTGTCACTTGGGACGTTGATGATTCATACCAGGGCCTCATGCACACTGGGTGCCTGCGGCTGAGGGTTCCTGAACGGGCTGCCCAGGAGGACCTTCCCAGGAACGACCTGGAGACAAGGCCACAGCATACTGCCCCTTTGGGCTGGGAAGGCAAGTACGTGGGGACTCTCTTCCCCCCAACCTGGCCCCCAGCTCCATACCCTTCTTGCAGACCCCATCAGTTCCCAGGTCCGGACAGCCACATTGTCCCCGTGCTGGTGCGGGACTGGGGGCTCTTGGCCACCCCAGTTAAGGGGCAGACATTTCAGCCACGTGGCCCGGAGGGTAGCGAGGCTGGTCCATAATCTCACCCGGCCATGTCATTCCCGGCCCATACTGTGGTGGGCGTGCCAGGAAGCCTCTCCTGGAGATCACCTGTCCTCTGGGCCTTCGTGGGGAGTCAGGTGGGGAAGTTGAGTGGCCTCCCTTGAGGCATCAGGACAGGTAGCTGCAGGGGGAGGCCATGTGGGGGCTGACTACATGCAGGCCATGCCCTGCCAAGGTGGGGAGACTCATGTCTGCCCTGCGCCCCCACCCCGTCCACCCCCGCTGCAGCGCTCCCCGGACTGTCACTGTCATTGTCCCATTCAGGGACATCCATGGTGCCTCCGGAGCTGGAGACACCTGTGTGCTCATACCTTTCTTCAGACGACTTGGGTCATCTCTGAAAGGATGACCTGTCAGCCTCACGGGGGGTGTCGGCCCAGTGACTGGGTCTCGTGTGGTGCACACTCCTTGGCGAGCTCCACCTGAGTGGTGAGAGGCGGAAGTCTGCATTCTTGTGGGCACCCACCGCCCCCATGGCCACAACTTCCAGGAGAGCCCCATGCAAGGTGAAGGCCGCCCTGCCCCCTCCCCAGCCCTCCCGGTCCCTCGTAGACAGGCTGGACGCAAGAAGTCGGGGGCACTCTGCACCCCAAAGTCTGAGGTGGCCAGAAAACTAGCTGAGCACAAACACTCCTCAGTGGAGGCTCAAGAGCCCCATCTGTACCATAGCAGAGCTCGCTGGGTGCAGGGGTCGGGTCTAGGGGCCTGCGTCCCCAGCCCACTGCGCCTGCCTCTCCTCTCTCTTCTCACATAACTGGTTACTGAGTGCCTGCTCTGGTCCGGGAGCTGGGCGTACAGCGGTCACAGAGGCCGTGGTCAGGGCGCCGAGCGCAGAACCACGTCTGCTGTGGTGAGCCGGGCGGTGCCCGAAGAACAGCCTGGCGACGGAAGCATCCCTGGGCCAAGCTGAGGTCTGGGAAGGAGTGTTGTCTGTTGGTGCCCTGAGGCAGGTGCCGACGAGGGTGTGTCTGCGCAGCTGTGCCCCCTGAGACACGGGATGGCCCTGGAGACAGTGGCTCTGCCCCCAGTGCACCCTCTGCCCCCAAAAGTCAGGTGCTAGGTCTTGGGTTCGAGGGGCCCATGGGGGAGGTGGGCTGCAGCGCCTCCACTGACCCGCCTGTGCTCTCTCATAGCTGGAGATGGAGGTAAAGATGCTGCAGTGTCAGTCCAGTGCCGCCGAGCAGAGCTGCCCGCTGTCCAGGGAGGAAGTGAGCTCGCTCAGGTAGGTCAGCACCGTGGCCTCTGGGCTGCCTTCCTCTCTCCTCCTAGCCTGCCCCCCTGAGTCCCAGGCCATCCACTCGCCTGTGCCCCCAGCGTGGAGGGACGGTCAGGCCCATGGGCAGGGGCTCATCTGGGGCCGTCAGAGGCGGCCCTGTTTCAGGAGAGAGCTACTTACAGGGCCTTCCCAGCGTGTCCACCAGGCCACCTTCGGCCTGCGTGTTGGGCCAGCTCACAACACAGCCTTTCTCCCCCAGAGGTTTTCTGGATTCCTCCAGACCCCATCCCAGTGCTGCTCACTTTCTGGTGCGGAGTGGCTCTCCAGGCTTTTCCTCGGCCCCTGGACTGGGAGAGTGGTCTCTGAAGAGGTTTTCAGGGAGACCTACTCCAGGCTCCCATAGGTCCCTGAGTTGGCCCCGCTATGTCAGTTTGTCACTGGGAAGTGGCTGGTGGGTGGGCTGATGCCATCCCCCCAGCATCCCAGGGTGCAGAGTGAGTACAGTGGAGCAGGCGTCAGCTCCAGGTCTTACCTGCCACGGACACACGTGCTTCTGGCAGGTCAGGGAGACGCGCCTGGGCCCCCACCAGTGCACCAGGCAGGGGGAAGGGGGTGGATCCTGCAGGTGTGGTGGCTGCGTGGGGCGGCGGGGCATGTGAGGATGTGACGTGCGGGGGATGGTTCTGTGTGGGAGAGAGACCAGCAGGCAGGCCAGGTGAGGTCCCTGTAAGGATGTGGCCTTGTTCCCCGGGGCGGGTGGAGGCAGGAAAGCTCTCAGAGTGAAGGAGCGATCACGTCTGCAGGATAGAAGCCCCTTGGCTCTCCAGAGCAGGCACCTGGCAGAGGGCTCAGCGAGGGCTGCACTAAGCATGTGCTGCGGGAACATCCTCATATGGAGACGCAGAGAACACCCTCCTGCACCAGCTTCCCCGAGCAGCCCCAGCCCAGGGAGGAGCATGCTTGTTTAGGTCACAGGGCGGGCTCAGGGTCCCGGAGAGCAGATGGGGCTTGTACGGCTCCTGACGGGGCGAGGTGGGGAGGCAGAGGGGCTCATCCAGTGTCTGGGTTGCAGACCGGCTTCCCCGAGGTTGGCCTCCGGGGAGCCCCAGGAAGAGCAAGACCGGGGTGGCGTGCTCAGTGCCGCTCTTGAGGGCCCTCAGGTGCCCCCTGGGGGCCCCGCCCTGAGCACTGAGTGCCAGAATTGGAAGAGAGGCTACGTCTGGGCTCTGCCTCAGTGCCCACCCTTCTACTGTGGCCCAAGCCGCCCACAGCGCCTTCCGCTGGATGCGGGTGTGACATCCGGGCCCCTAGCCGCTGGCTGCTCCTGTTTGCGTGGGCTGGCACACTTCAGGTAGATTCCTTTTTATTTTTAAAATCTGAGTAAAAGCCCTTATCAGTGATCTCTTCTCCATCAAGATCAAAGCTGCCCGTCCCCACCGTCTCATTTGGTGAGTGTGACTGTGGGAAGGAGCCTTTGTGGCTAATTAGTGGAAATTGGGTCGGCAGTTGTGTGCACCACTTGCCTGGACGCACTCGAGGGAGGGCTGCGGCTACGTGAGACCGCACATGACCTGATACACTCCCCCTCCGCCCTGCGGTGGGGGCACCTGCTGGAGTGCCTGGGGCACTCGATGCCTCTGCTCCTCCAGGCATCCCCTTCACGTAAATATTCCAGAGCAGTGACGTACCTCAGCTTCCCTTGTGTCACATGCCATCTTCACTTTCCTGGGAAGCCGCAGGAGAGCCGCTCAAGGCTGCCCTTGGGCTGGGAAGGGCTGGGGGGGCGGTGGCGCTGGCTCTTTTGCCCCAGCTCCTTGCATGGGCCTCACTGCGCCCCCGGCAGGTGGAGGGGGAAAAGCCCTAGGAGGCCCCCACCATCTTCGTAACCTCTGTTTCTGCCACCCCTTCCTGCAGAGCTTTCCTGAGATTCCAGGGAGATAAGGGGCTGCTCGTGGCCTGCCCTTGTGGCGACTGCACTCCCAGCCTTTGCCCGCCGGCCACGAGCAGCCCGTGGTCCCAAGGGATGGGAGTGGGCACTGGCAGATTGGTCTGTTACCTGTGAAACCCAGATGCGCCCAGCATGCATGAGTGATAAAGGATGGGAAGTGTAGGTGGTATGTCTAATGCATGCGTGTAGTGTTTACACACACAAGTGATATGGAGCATCGCTCTTTAACAAGCAAACGAGGGAAAACTCAGCGGAGATTTAAGTGGCGGCTACAGGACCCTTTCAACTGTAACAGGGCCTGGTTCTGTCTTTCCTGTTGGCACATAGCGGCCACAGCAAACCCTGAGTGCCATCTCGGTTGAGTGGCTGGGTGGACCTCAGTCCCTCGAGGCGCGCTTCTCTGCCGGCACCTGCTGGCCCTCCCCACCACTCCCGGCCCAGCCCCAGGCCCTCTCCACCACCCCAAAACCCCTGCTTTGGGGTCCAGGGATTGAGGAGATATCCCCCCTCAAAACCAGCAGGCACCATGCCCCATGCCCCCCACACACACTCCCTTTCCAGAAGGCAAGGTGCTAGGCTCTTGTTTTCAAAGAATCTTCTATTGAACAAATCTTTGCTGAATGCCCTTGTGTGCACCCACGAGTCTACCATCAGGAGGACGCAGCCCCTGCCCCGGCTCCCAGAGCGGTTGGTTGATCTCAGGGTCATGGGCACCACTGGAGAGGGGCATGGCTGCCCAGTCCCTGCCTACAACCCAGACCTTGAAGCAACCTCCATGCGTTTCACACCTGCCGATGCCTCCTGTTTTCAGACCTGGTGGGCAGGGGACAAGCCACGTGCCTGTGTCTGCCTCTCTGGAAGCCTAAGTCTTCTCCTTGGCACCTCTTTGCACCTGGCACAGACCCATGGGCCTGGGCTGGTTTCACATGCTGTGAGGGGCAGGCAATGGCCCCCATCCATCAGGACTTGGGGATTCTCTGGAATTATTCATTGATTCTTCTCTTCCATTTCCCAATTTCTTCTTGCTGAAGCTAGTATTTTTTTTGGATGTTGAACTTCCTAAATTAGTTCTGCTTTTTATTCTACTTTCTATTTTTTTATTCCCCTTTGGATGAAGTTTTCTCAGCCTTATCAACCTGGTTTTAATGAATTTCTGCAGTGACATTTTAGGTTCCTAAAATTTTCTGTTGTTTGGTTTTTGTTTGAATATTCTTTCACATGTATGACACCTTGTTGTAATGTGATGACTACGCCATGTCTGCTCTGATGTTAATCATGGACTTTGCGCAGCTTTCTCCTCTTCAGGCGGTTCATTCTTTCACAGCCTCTTTCCCCGTCAGGTCAGCATGGCAGTTTAAACCACACCTTGGTCTTGATGCTGGATGCTGTCTTCAGGAGTGTGGTGGTTCCTGCCTTCTGCCCATGAGGCTGCTTCATGGGGCCTTGGGACTGGTCATACCTTTGGGGAAGATCCTGTCCATGAGGCGTAGGTGCTGCCAGCGCCTGGGAACTGAGCAGACAGACAGGAAGGCTCAGCTCACTATAGAGACCTCCCCATTGTCCCCTGATCACCTCGGTGACTTTGCATTTTATCTGGTAGACCTCTGTCACAGACTATGAGCCTGGAGTTCTCTCTCCAGTCCAGCAAGAGAGTGGATGCAGAATTGAATACAAGAGAAGCTAATGTTTGTAAAGAGACAGGAGTCCTGAGCAGGGGTTTCATATCTGTATTTATTGAGCTCACGAGATCTTACACGTGTGGTGGACTTGGAGAAAACAATCAGATAGTAATCATTAACTTGTGTGTGTAAGAAGCAAAGTGTCTGGTGAGCAAGTGGAGTTTGTGATCAATGACAAAAGTATATTGGTGCCAGATGTAAAGTAATCTCCTGCAGGTGATAACAGGTTACTCATGATCCCATTACAATATCTTGCTAACTAACCTCAGGCGCTTTCGCCCCTGTGGTGGCTGCTTTCTGCCCTAAGCTTTTTTAACCCATTTATGTAAGTGTAAGGAATTCTTAAACCTATTTCCCCACAGACCTGCTGGTTTCTCTCTCAAAAAAATAAGCCTTGGGTAATTTTCCAAGATGAGAGAGAAGAAGGTAAGATGAGCAAGCGCACAGGAGGACTGAGATACTGGCTGTTCCAAAGATTTTCAGTTTCTGGTTCTGGTCAACTGCCCCATTCTGCCCACATCTCCCCGCACGGCTGAACACCCTGATGTGACACACAGGCAGAGAAGGCCTGAAAGAGGAGAGAGTGGTCCACATGGGGCCCAGGGTTTGAGGAGGGTGTGCGGGTGAGCTCCCAGAATCTCTCGCTGCTGCCTGAGCCCCTGAACCAGGAGTTGCAGAGGCTCCGATCTGGATCAGCTACAGACATGCACCTAGGAGGCCCGAGGTTCCGGAAGCCTTACTGACATCTGCCCCTCAGCAACAAGCAGGGTGCTTGGTCCCCACTGGCCATGTCCACCGGGCCAGTGGTGACCCACCTTCCTCTCCAGCCTTCAGAGCAGGCAGTGCTGGGCATGTAAGCAGGGTAAGGGGAGCACAGCCCACGTCTCCCTGCCCCAGCAGAAATCAGAGCCCCACCCCTCGGCATCGGAGCACTGGGTGAGATGGCTGGGGGCTGTTCACCCCCTCCCACTGATCTAGGCTCAACAGGAACCCCACGCCGACCCAGAGCAGCAAGGTGGTCCTTGTTTGCCCATCCCTGGTGTCCGCAGACCCCCGTGGGGAGATCAGCGCGCACCCCACTCCCTCAGGGTCCACCTCGGCCAGCATTGGGTGAACACGGCCCACAGGCCGTGGGACTTGCACCTGCCTCCCGGGCCTGGCACTGCCTCTGTGGGGCCACCTGCCAGGAGCAGATTAAGGAGGATGCAGGGTGCGGTAGGCAACCCACCCTCCACAGAGCCAGGCACCACAGCTCTAATGGGGGAGGACCAGCAGCAGGCAGCAGCGCACAGGGATGCGGGCGCTCGAATTATCTGACGAGGATCATAGAGCGGCAATCAGAAAAGTGCTTCAGCAAACAGTTACGAATCTTCTTTAAA